CATATCCCTGAGTTCATTTTCTTTGAATTGGATGGGTTTTGGGATGTGGTACTGCTTTGGCAAAGAAAATTCAGTGAATTCAATTTGAGTGCCTGAGACACACGTTAGGATCCATGGATCCGAGGTAATATCTTGCCAAACTGACAAATGTACCCCAGTCTTCCCTGCTGTGAAGTTATCTGATGTATTAGCCAAACAATCAATACAGCCTGTGTGCTTTCTCACCTGGGTAGTTACCTCCTGTACGTGTCCTTCTGGCGCCTGGCTAAAAAAGACTGTTGTTGGGCTGTCTTCCCCCGATAGCTTTGTCCCCGTCCACGGGAGGCTTGACTGACAGTGTGACCACCACCAAAGTTCCGGCGGCCACCGCGGGAAAGCTGACCCTCATTTGAGTAGGGGGAATATCGGGTGGCTGTAAAGTTTTTAGTGCCCCCATACAGATTTGTTTTCTGCTTGCTATGGCCAGCAGATAATTTTGACGTTATCTGCTTAGCCTCACTAATGTCCCTGATCTTTTTGTTCAGTTCATCCCCGAAGAGACACTCACTAGTTACAACTGCATTTGGGGCACACAGTTTCTTGAAGGGAAGGCTGAGGTCCGGTTTAAAATTTTGCCTTCTTGAAGAATTCATATTTGATAGTGCTGCAATGAGCATCCGCAATGAATCTTTTGCCTTGTTGAGAACTGTTTTGGCATCTAGCTCTCTCTTCGCCACCATGTCCTCCATCACATTGTCCATCAACTGCACTATTGGTATGGTAGCTTTGGCAATCATACCCTGTAGTTGCTGTGCCTTGATGTCTGAAGTACGAGATGTTTTCCTCGCCTCACACCATATCTCCTCATTTACACGAGGTGCAAGGAGGTTTAAACAGTTTTCCGGACGTTTATACTTAGCGAAAAGCTCTTTCAACTTTTCCTGATTTACCGGTTTTTGTAGCCCATCCCTCACCGATGTAGCAAGACCTTGGTTGACAGGTGGCGATGTATCGTCATCATCACCGATAAACGACCGCATTTCTGCAAACAGGTCGTCAATGACATCTGATGCATTTTGGTCATCAACAACTGCTGTGTTGTCATTCACGCACTCAGACACCAACTTGTCGAGACTGTCTAACTCATCACACTCACTGTTGTCATTATCAGTGACCTCGCCATCTTCAACATGGCTGTCGGTTTGTTTACTTCCGCTCGGCACTATCCGTGTCTGTCCGGAATTAAGCGAAGTCTCGATCTTCTCAAACTGTGTTTTTAATCCACTCAAAAAGACTGAAATACCCTTCATAGTCTCTGTTTGGGCAGCCTGAGTCTCTACAAATGTTGACATAACATCTTTGATCTGCTGCGAGTCGTCTGGTTCACTGACTGACTGCAGAGCCTGTGTCTTACTGCAAGGTCTCGCTTGACCTACTTTCCCGACTGCACCACTGGCACTGATACCTCGCCATTTCTTGTTAGCACCCTCTACATCCATTTCATATTGTCCGTTGTGCTGAAATCTTTCAGCAACGTCAAAAACATTTTGACGAGGTTTACAGTCGACTGCTTCACAGTCACTGATCTCACTCTCCGATGCCACATGATTCTCTCGCAGTGGGGTCGCCATTTTGAACTCTGGTCTTCAACCCCTGACCCCGGCCGCAGCCGTTTGGTCAAATAGTGTAGAAATTCAGCTGGGATTCACCCACTGAGTGCTTTCAAGTCGTTCACGACACCCGCAGGTTATCGCAGAAGCACAGATATTGCAGGTGTGTCAAGTATTCACTTGGACAGCTCAAATTAATTAGTTGTTTAATGAAGCTTCGTTAATCACCGATGTCTAGCAGAACGCAAACTGATGATTTACGCATGCGCACATCTCACGGAATCCCTATGACGACATAGGTTGGTGGAATCGTGTACACTTCCCCTTTAACATTTGGTAAAAGATATCTATGGCCAGAAGGTAAAATATTTTTAACAAGGGTTTAAAACATGGGTTGGGTCTTGTAAGAGAAGAAAGATTTATGACAGATGACGTGTACAGAGTGCCTGAACTATCAAAATCTAAACAAGCAATTTTCTGCAACTTTAACAATCCTATTTAATTTGTTCTTTTTTTGAAGCCGCAGAGGTCCATACCAACACTGCATAGAAAATGTTAAAATAGATTGTATACATGATTTATAAAACATAGACATAAGAGTAGAATTGATGTGGAACGAGTATAGTTTTTGTAGAAAGTGGCGACGAGACTGGCATTTGTAATAGACTGCATTGGCATTTTGAGTGAAAGTCAGTTTGCTATCAGTTATTGTCTCCAGGTACTTGTACTCCTCGACAACCCCAACTGCTTGATCATTGATGATAACAGATTTATGTGATGGTCAATTTCTTCCTGCAAAAATCAATAATGAGTTCTTTTATCTTTTCCACATTTAGTTCAAGAAAGTTTTTTCTGCACCACTCTGTAAATCCAGACACTTCTTCTTTGTAGGAGTTGTTGTCAAAAAGCAGGCTGCCTATAGCTGTATAGTCAGCAAACTTCACTCTTTCACAGTTGGGTTTCGTACTGACACAGTCATTGGTGTAGAGCATGAATAGAATAGGTGATAGTACACATCCCTGGGGAGCTCCTGTGTTAGTGATGGTTGACGTAGAGTGCATGCTGTTAACTTTTTACATATTGTTCTCTGTGCAGTAGAAACGATGCTCTCCATCTTATGAGATGTGGGCATATATCCAGATCACTTAGCCTCTTGATGAGTATGTGAGGTTGGATGGTACTGAAAGCTGAAAATATAGACTGATAAAGTGTAATCCCAATTATAACATGCGTTACAAAGAAATATACTATTTTAAAAAGTTGGGGTTAGTCCATTTTGGCATATTATTTGGCAACCAAACTGTATGTTTGTATATGGATTTAAAAAGATGAAGATTCCATTTACAACGTGATGAATTTATGCAAACACGCCAATTTTGTGCTAGCATCTTTCATGATGTGCACTTAAACATGGTCAGGGTAAAATTAGAAATTTACAGTGAAAAATGTCTGTGTGGCAGTACATCTCAGTCAGATCTGTCAGATGTCAGTGTTACACTTTAATGCTATTTATCTCATTAAAGATATAAACCATCAACAGTTATGACACCTTTTGTAATATTCCTTTTGTATTTTCTTAAATGTATTAGTATATAATAAATCTTACAACTGATGCAGGTAACTAAGGACTTTCTTTCATATTTAATGACTCAAAATGTGCACCAGAAAGTGGATATAACTGTGAATTTCACACAGGCTGCCATTTTCATTTGTGTATGACAGATAGTTGGTTATTCTATGATGTTTTCATCTACAAATAGTTTGGTTCCCTTGAGTTTCACTCAAATTCATACTGCTTCACAAATTCATACTGCTTGCCTGCTTCCCTGTCTATAAAACTGCCTATGGTTTTTTTTGGTAAATTTGAGCCTCACCCCAGATGACTTTTCTAATAACTAAAACACTAAGTTTGATTCAGGAACTTCTACAAAATTATCAAGGGGTGTTCTTATAGCATGCCCTATTAAGGTCAAGGTCAATCACACTAATTGTTAGGGGTAATGCTATACTACTCACACTTTCATAAGGATCACAAAAATGTAAATCTATACTTAAATGTAGATTTATAATATGAAATTGTATCCATTTAAAACTGTATAAATAATTTTGTGGTAACCCCTCTTTAGGCAGACAGCCACTTTATTCTAACCTTATGCACTTGATACATGAGTAACCATAAAAATGGTTTTCATGGCACCAATCAACCATTTTGCAAATCATGGAACCAGTCATTGATAAATATATAACACCTCTCAATAGCAGGTATGCGATCCACAAGATGCAATGACATACTGAAACGTAGGAACCATGCTTACAATAAGCTTAGATATTTAAACCAAATTTGACCCCACATCATAGTTTTCTGTTGAATCCATGATTTCTTCTTTGAGTGGCATTTTAGAAGGTGGGAAGTACAATATAGAACAAACTTTATGGATAACAACTTCTTTTTATATAAAAATGCTTGACAACGGTACAAGAATCTGTATCGAAACGTCGCAGTCACGAATAAAAAGAAGTTGCTATCCATAAAGTTTGTTCTATATTGTAAATCCATGATTTGATCCATAGCAACGTGTGAATAGTATATATGAAACATATTATTGCACATATCATACTTGACCTGTTCTTTCTCTAGCTATGGGTTAGTATTCCAATCAAATTGTGTCATTCATAGCTTATAAATATCAGTTCCACAATAATGTGAAAATATGGCAATGAAAGTATACATGTATAGTCTGTTTGGGTTCAAATGAGAACAACAAATGATTAAATAACTCGAAATTGGGATAAGTGCATAAAACATAAATAAGACACTTGGTCCTGAAACCTCTGTACTCAACTGAATCTGAAATCTGACGATTTTTGATCGATCATGGAAAAAGTTCTTTAAGAAACCATCATGTAATATTGTGCAAACCAGACGTTTGTCACCCCTCGGTGTGAAGTGTGAAAATAGCACAATATTACATGAAGGTTTCTTTACAACTCAGATTTCAGATCCTGTTGGGTACAGAGGTTTCAGGACACTTATTTATGTTTTGTGCACAAATCCCTATTTCGAGATATTTAATCATTCATCATTCTCATTTGAACCCAAATGGACTATAGTGTAAATTTCACATTGGAAAATAGACATATCATTTGATCGTTTCAATGTTTAGATAACTCAGAAGATATCGAAGGAAGACAAATTAGCTTGCTGAGCTCATCATGGCTCATTGTCAACACTCAAGTTTTATGTCATATTGTGAAGGACATCAGTTATTTTGTCATACATTGATGTTAGCTGCCAAAACCTATTTATTTCCAAAATGCAGAATTTCATTGTGAAAGACATTGTTTTTTGTGTTCATTGACTGCCAATTTCTGCTTAACTATTTATTGCCTTTTCCTTTACTGCACACAAAGATGTATATGGATGAATGGAGAAACTTGTTCAAGGTTTGTACATGTTGTTAACTTGTCAAGATGCCATAATTTGTGAAAACAGCTTCATCTATGACTGTGTTTAGTTGTTAATGGTTAGGGCCATAAGAAAACTACAGATGTTTTTTACAGATACTTTAAGAACACTTGATCCGTTATGAGATTTATAATAATGAAATTTTCTGGCAACACCCTCTGGTGTCAACATATTACTTTTGAGGTACAATGTAGAATACTCTTTCTATGAAGCTTACAAAGAGTGTCATACCATCACTGAAGAGTTGTTTGATCAAATTTCAACACACAAGGCCTGTTTTATGGCAGAAATGGAGGTCATTGCCAAATCTGACGCATCTGATATCTGAGATAGATATATATATATGTATACTGAAAGGCAAAAGAAACGTCATAGTATTGGAAATGACATTTAAGTATCAATGAAGTATTTGGACCCCTTTTTTGTTTTATACATACACTGGATGTCGAGTTTTAGGAAAACATTAAATGTGATCGTATCGCCTGTATTACCCAATAAAGCATTGTTTGAGATTGAGGTTTGAAATGTTTTTGTTTGTGGAAAGGGAAGAGTTCGCACAAATACGTCATTGAAATCGATGTGGACAATATGACGGTCTTGGCAACGTGTTGTTACACGGGGCAGAACACTACTTGGACCAGTGCTGTTGGTGGCGTTGTATCGCTGTCTAAGTCGTTCTATCGTTCGTACGCTGCAATTGAAGTCATTAACAATGACTCAAGCACGTTGACCAGCATCTAGACGTCCAGTGGCTTGTTGTTGATCTCTCATTAACCTAGCCATAGCTGCTGTATTCAGAAAACACGTGAACTATTGCCATTCAAGCCGGCAATTTATGCCTGAATGCATGCATGATGCTCGTGCATCTCGATTTCAATGTTGTGTTTGTGCCAACTCTACCTTTTCCATTTCAACCTCAATCTCAAACAATTCTTTATTGGGCTATACAGGCAATACGACTACGATTAATGTTGACCTCAAACTTGACTTCCGGTGTATATAACAAAAATAGGTTCAAATACTCCATTGGTACTTGAATGTCATTTCCAATATTATGACATTTCATTTGCCTTTCAGTATGTATATGTATGTATGTATAAATCATATATATATAATCATATACAGCTGTTTTGAGTCTTTACCATATGTTCACATGAACAAATGATATGCATTTGTTTGTGATGGGTTCACCTCGTGGCACCATCTGATAGTGATTCATAAACACATGCTTATGATATAGCTGGATTTATACAGCATTGCAGTTTCAGCTTTTGCAGCTCATTAGATGGAAGTCAGACTATGAAGTTGTCATCTGACACACTGTTACTGTACATATAGTTGTTTGAAATATGATGTAAACAAAACTCTCCATTGATCCAACCTGCTGTGTTGTTACTGAAATCCTTGAGCCATTTTTTCTCTGAAAAATATGTTTCTGTAACTAGCAATTTGTTTTTTATCCACATAATATAATTACACAAGAATTATTAACAGAAAGAAAAATCCGAAGCAAAAGGGCAAACTAGAATATCCAAGAGACTGTTATTCATCCACTTTTGTTCAAATCAATTGCTTCTGACTGTGCACTTCAGTTCACTCAAAATATAATCCTTGCAATGAAATCATCACCTGTTCAGAAAGCATTGATACAAGGGGAAGTATAAGGGTTGTTCACAGCCTTTAGGGGACCAAGTTTGTTCAAGAGGTTCAAGTGTCATAATGGCTATCCTTTGAAAGCAGTCCCTTAAAGTAAGACATAATATAAAGAGAATGTGGTTGCAGTTTTATATATAGAATTCATATTTGTAGCTTGTAAGTTGGCAAACAGTAATGATCTGGTGTGTGATTGGATGACACTGACATGCTCCTGTATGTGCCTTTAGTGCTTCAGTTAGGAGTAAAATGTTTCCAGTATAAGACAAAATATTATGGATGCCAACTTCTTGTTTATTCTATACACAACATTTCTGGGCTTTTCCTTGCCCCTTCGTCAGGTGAATGGTGACTAACAGGTATCTGCATTTGTATATCTATTCTCTTCCATCTCATAATCCCCTGTTTATTGTATATGCATGCTTAAATTCACTCTGGCTTCATGTACATTTCTAGTATATGTATCCTGTATACCGGTACCTGTTAATCACCATTCACCTGACAAAGAGGCAAGGAAAAGCCCAGAAACGTTGTGTATAGAATATACAAGAAGTTGATATCCAAAATATTTTGTCTTATACTTATGCCTCTCAAGAACCTCAGAATGTTTCCAGCTATCACAACTTCATAACACATGCAGTTACAGCTGGAGATAGAGACTTGAATTTACCAAATGCATTGAAGAATTTTCAATTTTCATTGTACAATATGTTTAGTGAAGATTTAGTATTGCTAAAAGATAGTCTAGAGAAATTGCAGATATGAAGCAATGAATGTAACAACATTGTCATCCTGAACATTTCTACATATCCGTCTTTTTAGTTTTACTCCTTGTTAAGCTCTTTTTACATGACAAAGACTTTATGATACATGGTATAATATTTGTTGCAGCACTAGATTTTAAGGGTCTTGTGCATAAGTTGGTACCAGATGATTATGATTATGATTAGAAAGGTGATTGACATAAAAGAATTGTTTGACATACATGTATTGAGATGTAAACATGTTTACGAATATGTTCAGGACAAGACACAAATTCATGAGAATACTATCTTCCTGGTCTATCTGTTGTCTCATCTCTGAGCCCGGGAGGCCTGCTTCACCCAACCATCTGGTACAAGACATCACCTGTAAAGGCTACAGGTTATATATACAGAGAGGATTGCTTCACTACCATAGGATCCATATCTGAAGATGCTTTAATCTATATGATTTATAGCTGAAATATACTCACTGGTGGCTGTTGCTTCTTTTAAATACGATGTCCCTGCAAGACATGACTTTCCTGGGTAGACTTCAACTTTGCCCCACCCAGGCTTGAATGTTATCCCCTCCATCTTTAGTGGATCTTCTCATTTAGTGGACTTGCTGAGAGAACATTATTGAGAACACCTCATATTTTCAGCACCTGAACACCACATGGTCACTGATGTTACCAACTCAAGTTTGTGTGCTTATATGGACAGTCTAATGTTACAAGGTGGTGTACAATATTGTATACAAGAATCACGATACAATACACTGATTCACAACTATGACCCTAAACGTATTATTACACCTTTAATTTATGCTGATTAAATCAATCCATTTTAGAACAGATAATCAGGTAATCACGTCAACTGGGGTAACAGTGTATCTTCACTGGGGTGGTATTTTGATGGATAACTTTTGTGACTCACCTTGACTTTCTGGCTACATTCCTCTACAAGTGTTTGTCGGTCTGATCCTGCAGAGGCCCAGATAAGCTGCGTATCCGGGTAAAATACGCATAGAATTACGCATTGAAAAGTAATTGTTGCATACCAACTACGATTTAAAATGTTAGATACGCAGAAAATTTAAAACAAATGCGTACGGAATATATTTATAAAAATCGCTTGCGTAATGAAAAAGACATTGATTGCTATCAAGTTGTACTGTTATTATAGGACAAGTGTTGTACTGTCAGTATAGGATGAGTGATTTTTTATGAAATCATTTCCATTATATTTAAGTTGTTTTTGATTACCGCCTCATTTTCAATTGACTGCTAGTTTACAGTAACATCAGTAAAAATGTGTGAATTTAAATGGCTTCCGTATTTTACCCCATTCCATGTGCATACAACTTCTGCTTACCACGTTCATGAGGGTCCGTATAACCTTAGTGTTGATTATATATATTTTACATAAAAACTGTAATTAAAATTACACAATGCTAGGTTATATATCTTTGGGTTAAATAATAGTACTCTGTACTATATTTTACTGACGACTGCGTCAGAATTCGTCCCGTTATATTATTGTGCATGTTTGAACTTGATCGCCGGGAAACGTGCACAGCTGATTGCTATTTCCGGCTCAGATACACACGGTAATCTTAATCCCTGCAAATAATACAATGCCCAGCAAAAACAACTTAGAACTTAAAAGGTAAATAATCTTGTCTAGTGATGTTTAATTGCAAATTTGACGTCTCTACTGACAAAGTCGTCTTCTGTTTGTTCACGCGAAGTGATACGATGTTGTTTTCTTACCCCTGAAAATTTTTTAGACGAAAGCGTAACCCATGGATAAGACGACCCCCTTCTACAGACTGCTTTTTTTGGTCCTCAAAATTCGGCTTATAGACGGTAATATACGGTAGGTATGACATAAAGCAGAACATACCTGCTTAGTAAACTTACTCAATGGCATATACTTAGGTGCGTAAAATGACTGAAATACGCACATATTTGAAAGCAGTGGGTAACAGAAAAAGAAATACCCACTCAACATTCGTAATACCCACTCCAAAAAAATACAGTGGGTACAGTACCCACACGAGCCAAATCTTATCTGGAGCTCTGACTTGAATTGGAAAGAGACTTCATCTGCATAAGACTATTTCCTTTTTTCACGACAGTGGCACAATCATTTTCATGGTGCCAGTATGGCCAGCATGGCCCTGGTTCTCCATACTGTTGCTGTTACTCTTTGATGAACCCCTCACTACTGGAATGCCTAGATCTCCTCCTCCAACAAAGACCAGACATCATGTAATGTAGGCAACACTCACTTCACCTTCATGCTTGGAAGTTTTTGCAGCGAAAGCATAGACTTCCAGATTCTTCAATTCTGCATTAGTGGGAGTTGATCAATCATGGATAACATAGTTGTCCACACAGATTCAACAGATTCACCCTTCATCTTTAAAAGAACTTCTGCCATGGCACCATTGAAGGAAACAGCTGTCTGTTGAAGATTATCATATTGTCAACTCGGTTACTCTTATTGGAGGACCACAAAACCCCATGCATCTTCCCCAAGCAGAACCTGTTAGTTGTTCTGTCTGCTTGTGTTGAGGA